ATTTATACCCTCTCAAAACTCAGCCAAAAAAAAACCCCAAGCCAAAGGACAACAAAGCCCCCAGAAAGCTCCTCAGAAAAGTAGCCGTTGTGCCCAACGGATCTATTGTCGGTCGACCGAAAATTCCGTCGGTCGACCGATGAGAGCAAAAACACGAAGAAAACGTTCTGGACCATCGTCGGTCGACCGGAAATTCTGTCGGTCGACCGATTTGAGCTCTCGGTCGACCGATCTTGATCTTCAATAAGCTCTTCTAGGTAATCTCTCGGATGAAGCTTTAACTTGGATCTTGAACTTTGAATAGCAAGGCTTCACCGACATTCCGCCAACCTCCATTGGATATCATCGTTGAAGCTCTATTCCATCCATCCTCCAACTACGTTGTTTGTCTACAATACATAGGAATGCACAAACACTAGACAAACAACATTAGTAGTAAATTGTTTGTAAATCATCATCAAAACAAGAAGGCCAACAATCTCCCCCTTTTTGATGATGACAAACAATTTACAAAAAGGATATATGCATGAAAAGAAATGAATATATAAATTACAATTCACATGCATATAACCACGAAAAAGTATACTCACAATATTTCTCCCCCTTTGACAACATCAAAAAGGGGACAAAAGAATTAAGAGAGCGAAAGCTCCCCCTATCAATAAGCATAGGTGAGTATAAAAGGAATATATATAGGGATTGCTCCCCCTATCAAAAAGCCATATAGAATATATGCAATGAAGATCATGGCAAAATCATATGTGAGCAAGCATACATGAATATGCTAAAAATTTACTCACATACATGAAGATAATGAGAACACATATAAATATGTCAATATGAAAATAGTGTCTCATTAACATAAAAAATATAAAAACCATATATAAAAAAATGGATTTATGAACTCAAAAGAGAGAAAACATGAGAATCATGCAAAAAGAGTTTTCGAATGAAAACAAATCAACCAAATAAAGTCATAAACCAACCATTTAAACCAAAAAAGATGTTTGATCAAAAAAAAATTCTTTGTAAGACTTGATCAAACCACTTATAGAATACATTATAAAGCACGAATAGATAATCCATTAGCACAAACACATAAATATCATCATATAAGTGAATTATAATGAATTCAAAAACAACAAATCAAAACACAATTTTTAAGAAAAGAATTTCAAGAGAGGCAAAAATATATCAAGCTCTTAAGCTTGTTCTAACCCATATGATCATTCTAGCATCCGGTAAACATGATTTGGGAGTAAACACCCAATAAACCCGGAGGGTTATATAAATACAAACCTCTCATGAAAGCAAAACCAATAATCATGAAAACAAAAGAATTTAACCAATAAAAGGAATTGTTTTCATAAAAGTTTAAAATACATTTTTCAAAACCAAGAAAGAGAAAAATAAAAACACTAAAATTCTTGGTTTAAAAATTATTTTGGCACCCAAGCATTCTTGGTGCCGGATTGTTTAGGGACATGACCCCTATCAATAAAGCTCAAAGCCCTTGGGTTATGAACCCATTTGGGCGCATTTAGTGCACAGGTCCGGTCATAACAATAATTATGTAAATGACCCATTCGATTGCAATAAGTGCAATAAAAAGGTTGAAATAATTTACGTTGACCAAATGGTTGTGCACGGAAAACATTAGAAACATTTGCAAACATGGATGATCTTTTAAAATTGTTTTGCAAATGTGAAACTCTCTTTAAATCAAAACAAAATTTGGCCAAATGACCAAATCGACCACAAAAATCACATTTGTACACATGGACATGTTTATGATGATCTATATGTGTGTGTACATGTGAATGTGATGAAGAAGTCTTATGAGATGCACAAGAAACATTGATATTAGCATTTTTAGATTTTTGTGCATCATAGCAAAATTTAGATAAACGGCCTTTACGACAACAAATAGAGCATTTATAAATTTTGCTATACATATGTGCATAGTGAGTGCTTGGCTTTGAAGAGTTAGCACGAGACTTTGCACATAAGTCCATAAGTTTCTTGTTATTAACAATGCATGTGTTAAGAGTTGAATCTAAAGATGAAATGCGATTTTTAATATTGTTCAACTCATCATTAGGCATGGAAGCATTGTCAATAGAAGTAGAACAAATTTAATTATTTTTAAATGATGTAAATTTACTTCTAATACTCTCTACTTCTAGTATGGCATTTTCTTTTTCATGAGTTAAAATAGCAAAGTTTGAAAGAAATGAATCATGATCCGATTTTAATTTATCATTTTTTTCTTTGAGGATCACATTCTCATTAGAAACATTATCAAACTTAGAAATCAATAACTCATGATCGGATTTTAAATTAACAAGCTTGCTTTTCAAATCTATAAAATTATTATGCAACTTAGTGTAGGCATGCATTAATCTATCATATGCCACCCAAGCAAGTTCATTCACTAGATAAATCATTATCGGGTTCGAACTCGCAAACCTCACTAGGGCTAGCCTGTGGCCGTGTGCATGATGCTCCACATGAACTTGAAGCCGGATCCGCCAAAGCTTGTTGGATCGCCTCCAAGTCCCTTGATGTCGCTTCAATAAATTTCCATAGGTGTAAGCACTATCAAAAGAATCAAGCTTTGTTAGACATAAATGTAATCAAATGCATTTAATAAAAATTCTAACATAAGCTTGTTTCATAATAAACATCTTTTTATCATGTTTGCCTCCACTTGGATTTCTCCAACGTTGGCACAATATAAGCACAATCAATGATTTCCCAATAAATCGATATTTTTTAGATTGAACAAATATTTGAATCTAAAACACCATTGAGCATAGGGGAAAGCATTGAAATTTGGAGCAATACTAGAATCATAGCCTAAACAAGATGCATCATATATCCAATAATTGTAAAAATATGCAAGCAAGATACAAATTGCCAATCAAAACAAAGATTAGCATAAAAAATAACTTGGATCTTTAACTCAAGGCGATTAGACCTTAAATCAAAGAGCACCAAGCTCTGATACAGATTGTTAGACCCTAGAGGGGGGTGATTTAGGGTCTTATTGCTAATCTAATCCGATTAAATGCCTAATTAAAACTAATTAATAAGTTATCCAGCAAGTATGAAATACAACAAGAATATAAGCTAGGATAAGCAATATGAACAATGAGATATATCCTATATGATGATAAAGATATATGCAAGGATATATAAATAATACAAGGGTAAATAATCTAAACAAGATAAACACAAGATAGCGGATCAATATGAACTAGAGCAAATGACAAAGGCGATATCAACAATAGGCATGAATGTAAAAGAACGCCCAATGACAAACTCAAACACACGATATGATCACGGAGTTCGGACTTCCATCCTACGTCTCCGCTCCCCACTCCCGGGGGAAATCCACTACACAATCGGTTTGGAAGCCGGCACTTCTTCTACACACCCTCGGGTTTCTAGCTGCTAACCCAAAACTCTACAACACACACTCTTGCAATCACACTCTACACCCACTAAGTGTTAGACCTAGCCGTGTCTCCCTCAAGTGCTCGGTTACAAACTCTCCCTAGCACGTCAACCGACGCCACTCCTCTTGGGACGATCCCCGACTCTCACACACACCACTCCTTACTGGTGTACAAGTGTATTACAAAGTGAATCTCAATAAGCTCTATACAATAATTGACTTGTTCTCAATTATGGATGAGAACACAATTGAAAGCACAACACTAGGTTACAATCTCTCACCACCCAACTATACTATGTATGAAAGATACAATAAGCTCAATGTGGGTGTTCTGTAACAATGAGTAAATAAATCTAACTCAATAGCAAACTAGGCAATAATAAGAATATGAAAATCCATAATGAAATGCTAGAGAAAAGAGTTAGAAAACTTCTCTATAAACACAAAGAAGAGGGATGAAGAGGATTGAGAATGAATCCCTCAATCTGCAGTGAGAACTTCCTCCTTTGTAACAGAGACCCAATTTCTTTATACACAAAACAATAAAACCCTAAACCCTTGTTTAAAAACTTTGTTTAAAACTCTTCTTCATTACCTGAAAAGAGATCAGCAATTGGGTATTTATACCCTCTAAAAACTCAGCCAAAAAAAAAACCCCAAGCCAAAGGACAACAAAGCCCCCAGAAAGCTCCTCAGAAAAGTAGCCGTTGTGCCCAACGGATCTATTGTCGGTCGACCGAAAATTCCGTCGGTCGACCGATGAGAGCAAAAACACGAGGAAAACATTCTGGACCATCGTCGGTCGACCGGTGCGGTCGACCGATGGAGTTTTTCGGTTGCCCAGTGAACTTTTGACCTCAGGTTCGGTCGACCGGTGCGGCGACCGAATACTGATACTTCTGAAAAACAGTTTTGAAAGCTGTACATCTGATTTTGAAACACTGTTTAAAAATATCAAATAAATTCCAAAAAATGTAAAACTTTGGGGAATGATTGTAGACATGATAATAAACATGATACAATGACTGGTTTCGAATAAAACTTTGGGGAATGATTGTAGACATGATAATAAACATGCTACAATGACTGGTTTCGAAAAAGGACTTCCCAAATGAAAAATATCATCATTTAGCAAAATAGTCCAAAACACGAAAATGTAAACATGTGAATTTTGACATTTTGGCTAAACCAACTCTTGAAACTTTACAAAATGATATTATAGACTTAGTAAAACATGTATGAACTGATATTGAAGTCTATAAACTAATAAAACAATATTTTCACAAAATAGCATATTCTATGCAATGTTTTCAAAAACACAATAGAAAATATGAAATATATAATTTCATATATATAATCATAAAAACTCAAAACACATGTATGTATATATATAACTATTAGAGAGGGGAGAGGACCCTGGCCGTCACCCTCAACTAAAGAAACTAAAGAAAATTCAGTATTACCCAAAACCAAAACAGTGAGAAAATAGTACTTCCCCTTACATAAATAACTCAAAACACTAAAAGAGATCACTGCTAACTCAACTAATTGTATCCAGGCTCCAATTTGCTAGAACCTCCTCATTTCCCGCCTTCCAGTTACAGGTACGAAGCAGAACATTAATATCCTCATAAAGTCTCCTAAACACCATAACCTTATGCATCCTCTGATTGTGAAAGATCCGACGATTTCTTTCTTGCCAGATATGCCACACAGTAGCACTTAAAACCAATCTTGCCAGTTTGAATGTTCTATCCCTCACCTTGAATTTCTGTTGAATGTGCAGCGCTTCAGATGTGAGGTCTTGGATAACCGTAGGATCCAACCGCAATTTTAGTTTACAGAGCTTCCAAATAAAAGCTGTGAACGGGCATTGAAAGAAAAGATGGTCTCTAGATTCCTTCTCACCAGAGCAAAGAACACAATCTTCCACTGAGGTGATACCAAATTTTGAAAGCCTGTCTCTAGTAGCCATTCTATTGTATATACATTTAATCAAACAGCAGGCCATTTTTGGGTTTGCTGAAGGGAACCAAATCACATTGTAAAGATCAAAACTATTGAAATGAGTCCTAACTTGATCCCAAGCCGAAGCAAAGGAGAACTTACCACTAACTTCAGGAAGCCAAACCCATTGATCACTTTGTTCAGAAATTTTGATTTCAGCTATTGCATTCACCAGAGGCATAAGACAAGGTAAAGTTATATTCCATTGAGAATTTTGAATGATGTGAGAAACTGTCCAATTCTCAGTGCTAGTGAGCTGAGGAGTAGGATGTTGTATTAACTCAATAATTCTGCCTTCATGAATCCATGGATCAAACCAGAGTGAAGTAGATTCCCCATTTCCAATAGATTTCCGTATGCAATTCAAGGCTTTGAATTTGAGACCTGAAAGATACTTCCAAGTGCCAGAGTCCATTAAGTTAGAAGAAGAATTCCAGAAATTAACATCCTTGATATATCTTAAATTCATCCAATTAGTCCAAAGAGAATTAACAGTAAGGAGGCGCCAAATCAACTTTAAACCTGCAGCTTGACAGAGATCATCTAGTGTTCTGAGTCCAAATCCTCCTTCCTGTTTTGGTCTACAGACATTTTTCCATTTAATTGCATGCATCTTACCCTTCCAAAGAAAATTTGCAAAAGTAGCTTCCAAACTGTGTATAACAGAGCTAGGAAAGAAATAAGCAGAGTACCAATAAGATATGGTACTATACAGAACTGCTTTAATGAGCTCAAGCCTCCCCGCAAATGATAAGGAGTGAGTCATCCAACCCTCGATCTTATTCCTAACTTTATCAATTAGGGAGATAAAATCCTTAGCTTTAGGATAATTTATTGATAGAGGTAATCCCAAGTATTTCATAGGCAGAGTTCCTCTAGATATTCCCACAATAGAGCTTAGATCATTTGTATTAACACAACCCTTGATGTAATATATCCTGCTTTTGCTTCGGTTGATACTCAAACCAGTATGAAGAACCAGAGAATCTAGCAGATTGTTTATACCTTCGAAAGATTTCCTATTTGCTCTACAGAAAACCAGCATATCATCAGCAAACAAGAGATGGGAGACTTGCAGATTCTTGTTCTTCTTAATATTTTGAATTTCCCCTGAGATTGTAGCCAACTCCATCCCAATAGACCAGAATTCCATCACCAATACAAATATATAAGGAGATAGAGGGTCTCCCTGCCTAATGCCCCTATTACTCTTAAAAAAACCATTAGGGGAACCATTTAAAAGAACAGAGAAAGTAGCAGTTGACAGGCACTCCCTAATCCAATTGATCCATTTGACTGGAAAACCCATACAGTGCATAATATAGTATACAAACTCTCTGTTAATGCTATCAAAAGCTTTATGCAAATCAATTTTTAAACAAGCTCTTTTCCCATGATTCTTAGAGAAATCCCTTAGCAATTCATGAGCCAACAACGAACATTCACCTATATGTCTCCCTTGCAAAAAAGCATGTTGATTTTGTGATATCAATTCACCCACCACCAATTTAAGACGATTACTCAAAATTTTAGATATAATCTTGTATATGACATTGCAACAAGATATTGGTCTATAATCATTTATGGAAGATGCTTCTTGTGATTTCGGCACTAGGGTGAGGAAAGTATGATTGATCTGTTTAAGGAGTTTACCTGATGAGAAAAATGATCTCACTGCTGGAACCACATCAGTCTTGATTAAGCTCTAGTTTTGTTGATAAAAATAGGCGTTAAAACCATCAGGTCCTGGTGCCTTATCTGGATTCATCTGGAAAAGAGCATCCTTAATCTCCTTGTAACTTATATCCTTGCATAACCATTGTTTTGCTTCATCAGTTAGAACTCTCTTAACTGTCAATTTAGGGAAAATATTCCAATATGATTTTTGATTGAATAACCCTTCATAAAATTTTGGAGCCATGACTTTAATTTGGTCAATAGAAGAGATAGTAGAGCCATCTTTGTCAATCAGATGTCGTATGCTATTCATAGATATTCTTTGTTTTATAGCATTATAAAAAAACTTAGTATTTCTATCCCCTTGCTGCAGCCATGATTGTCGACTCTTTTGCCTCATCTCATCCTCCTCCTTGCTTAGCCATCCATCAAGCTCGAAACATAAAGCTAATTCAGTAGATTGTAATCTCTCATTATCCATGTCTTTATTTAGCTAATTCTGGATGTGCTCCAACTGTTTTGATAATTTTATAATATTTTCCTTTGTTGAAATGCCTGACTGTTTTGACCAATTTTTTAGAGCAGATTTTAATTCCTTTAGTTTAGAAACCAACTTGAACATTGGAGTACCTGCTTTTGAAATATTCCAGACACTATTGACCACATCTTCATAACCTTGACATTGAGTCCAGAAGTTAAAAAATCTGAATGGCTTTGGCCCTGAAGTAGTGCTGGGCATAAAATGGACAAGAGCTGGGGTGTGATCACTAGAAGATGTGCATTTATATTCTATAAACATTTGAGGAAATTTATCAATCAAAAAAGAGTTGCTCAGAGCCCTATCCAACTTGCCATATATTCTGAATCTACCTTGTTGCTTATTATGCCATGTCCAACATGAACCAGAGCTTTTGATATCAGACAGTCTACAATTCTGTATACAATCATTGAAATCTTTCAGATTCCTTGCAGTAAGCTTCCTTCCTCCAATTTTCTCTGATGTGTATCTACAAACATTGAAATCCCCCACTAAAAGCCACGGCATTTTGTTAATTTGAGCATGAATATCAGTAATATCATCCCATAAAGTAGATCTTAATGATTCTGAATTTTCTCCATAAATGACACTCAACATTAGATTGAGACCCCCATTATTTTGTAGAATTATTGTTATCTGCTGTAAAGTGACAGATAAAACAGTACCATTCCAGACCTCTGCATCCCAAGCTACCCAAATTCTTCCTCTACTAGAAGCAGTATAATTATTACAGTATGACCAGTGAGGAGGGATACATTTGGACACCCTGTAAGACTTTTCAGATTTTACTTTGGTCTCTAATAAACCCACAACACTAGGATTCAATGATTTAATATGTCTTTTAATATCCTTTCTCCTACTCAAATTATTCATGCCCCTTACATTCCAGAATAGCATTGTCATGAGGTAGTATTTGAAGATGCCCTTGTAACTCTCTTAGGGCCTAAAGAAGAATCTCTATTTATCTTCACCTGATTATATTTCTTCTTCATCAACAGCTGATTTTTACTTGTTATCCAATCAGGGTTGTCAACAGCAATAGGAAAATCAATACCTGTTCCATTCCCATTTTCCCCATCAGATTGCACAGATTCATTAACCGCTGTGTTTTCCTTGGTTTGATCTTGAATACCTGAATTGAAAGATTTGGTATGAGTATTACCCCCAGAATTCAAATCTGTATCTATGTAGTCATAATGCTGTAATAAGTTTGCATCTCCAGAATGGACATCAATTTTACTGGCTCCAGAATGAAACGACTCCTCAGCAGTTACATCTTCATTGTTTGATAGCTCCTCTTTATCATCAACCTCCTTATTTTCCTTTGAAAATTTTTCTTCAGACAAAACATCCTCTGCATTAATAATATATTTTCCTGAAATGACATTAGTACAGAGAGAATCAGATTCTATAGAAGATACAGAGTTTAAATCAGCCTGAACTCTACTATCTGTATTCACATTATCAGAACAGCATGGAACTAATACCGAAGGAATATCAATATCAATAACAGTTGGGTTATCAGAACCTGACCCAGAATTAGTAGATTTTCCTGAATTGGTAGGAATAATATTTGGTTTACTATTTTGCTGATTGTCGTTCATGTCTGTCTTCGATAATACTGTAAAAGGGATTCCATCATTCTTTCTCTTTTCAGCCCTATTAACAGTCTCTTTAGGGATCCATTTCTCAACAAGTTCTACAGAACATTGATAATCAACATGTCCAAAATTTAAGCATTTACTACATTTAGGAGGAACCCATTCATACTCAACAGTAGTTTCCAGCCATTCTCCATTTCCTAGGTCCAACCTTACAGAATTTGGAAGCTTCATATTAGAGGAAATCTCCACAAAACATCTAGCATAGGCTAGTCTCTCACCAGTTGCCGTAGCTTGATCAATATAAAGAGGAGTACCCACAAGACTAGCAATACGCCCAATAATATTATTAGACCATAGTTTAAGGTGCAGCGATGGAAATCTTATCCAAACTGGAACTGAGTTAAGAAGCTCTCTCTCTAATCCAATATTCTCAGTCCATTTTTTCAGAATAATAAGTCTGCCATCAAACAACCAAGGGCCACCATTTAAAACCTTGTTTAATTCTTCATTTGAACCAAATTTGAAAAAGAAAAAACCATTCTCTCTAGAATAAATATCAAGTGAGCAAGAAAGTTTCCAAAGACGACCAACACAACCTTTCAGGTGTGAATAGAATGGTTTATCTCTGAGAACATAGCCAACTAAAGTGTTATTCCACTTTTCCACATTAAGGAGAATCTCAGATCTAGGTATAGAAGCATAACGAAAACCATTGCTGTCAATTGATGGAGGAAAGTATTCTAAAGAGCAAATTTGATTTATCTCACGACCCATGGTACAAATGTCTTTCCATGATGAAGTACCAACATATTTAAATTTCCAGGAGTCAGAAAGATTCTGAGTTTGGTGAACCTTACCCCTTAAATATGCAGGATGATGCCTTCCAACCTCCTTATATGAATCATTTTGAGAACGAGTATGAGTATTTGATTTTGAATCAATTGGTTTTGGGAAGGGTTTTCGATACCTTCTTTTACGCTGCACAACATTAATCCAATCTAGCTCATCTTCCGCATTACTGGAATTGAGATGATCTCTTCTCTCCTCTACATGAATTCTGGGACTCCAATGTCAAGGTTGAAGATGTGGTCATCAGTTCTGGAATATTTCAAAAGCAGGTACTGGTACAATGTTAAGTTTGGTTTTGAAACTAGGAATTAAAATCTGGCTGCTAAAAATGTGGTCAAAAAAGTCAGGCATTCAAACAAAGGAAACTCAGTAAAATTTCAAACAGTTTGGAGCAATCGCAGATGGAGCTAATAAAGAAAATGGATAATGTGAGAGATTAGCAATCTATGGGATTAGCTTTATGTTTCGAGGTTGATGGATGGCTTAAGCCAGAGGAGGATGAGATGGGCATAAGAGTCGACAATCATGGGCTGGCAGCAGAGGGGATAGAATCTGGAAGTTTTTTTTATACATGCTATAACAAAGAATATCTTATGAATAGCATAGCGACATTGATTGACAAAGATGGATCTACTATCTTTCAATTGACACTAAAGTCATTAGGACTCCGAATTTTATGAAAGGTTCTTACATCAAAATCATAATTGGAGGATATTTTACCTAAATTACGGTTAAGAGAGTGTCTAACTTGCATGAAGGCAACAAAATGGTATATGCAGGATGATAAGAGTAAAAGCGAGATTAACGGATGCGTCTTTTTCCAAGATGAATCCAGGATAAGGCCACGAGGAGCGCTCGATGGTTTTAATGCCTATTTTTATCAACAAACTGGGAGAGGCTTAATCAAGACGTTGATGTGGTTCAGGGCAGGTGAGATATTTTTTCTCATCAGGTACCTTAAACGAGATTCAGATCACACTTTTCTCACCTGAGTGCCCAAAATCACAGGAAGTTCTTCCAGTAAATGATTCACTAGACGCAATATCTTGTTGCAGATGGTCATATAACAAGATTAGTAGTCTAAATTCTTGAGTAATCGGTCTTAAATGGTGGTGGGTGAATGTGATATAAACATCAACATGGCTTTTTGGGCAAGGGAGACATATAGGTGAATGTTCGTTGTTGGGCCATCGCAATTGCTAAGGGATTTTCTGCTAGAATCATGGGAAAGAGCTTTGGTATAAAAGTTGATGATGCATCAGCTTTTGCTAGCATTAACAGAGAGTTTGTATATATAGTTATGCCTGTATGGTTTATCAGGTCAACATGGATCAATTGAGATTAGGGAGTTGGCCTGTTCACTGCTACTTGACTTGTTCTTTTAAATGATGTCCCTAATCGGTTTTTTAAGGGTTAATATGGGGGCATTAGCAGGGAGAGCCTCTATCTCCTTATTATTTGTATTGGTGATTGGGAATTCTGGTCTATTGGGATGTGAGTTGGGCTACATCTCAGGGGAGACATTGCAAGTATTAAGAAGAACAAGATTGGGCAAGATACGTCCCATCTTTGTTTGCCTGATGATATGCTGGTTTTGCTGTAGAGGAGCAACTAGACATCTTTCGAAGGTACGTCACAACATCACTGGGAGATTTCTGGTTCTTCATATGGTTTGAGTATCCAGCGAAGCAAAAGCAGGATATATTAAGCAAGGGTTGTTGTTAATACAAAGTGATCTAAGGTCGTATTGTGGGAATATCGTAGAGGAATCTACGACTATGATATTTGGGATTACCTCTATCAATAATTATCCTAGAAGCTAAAGGATTTTATCTCCCTCACGATTGATAAAGTTGGAATAAGATCGATGGTTGGATGACTCACGTCCTTATGCATTTGCGGGGAGGCTTGAGCTTCATGTAGCAGGTTCTGTCTAGTAGGTATATTTATTGGTAGTGTGCTTATTTTCTTTCCTAGCTCTGTTTCACAGTTTGGAGCTGAGTTTGCAATTTTCTTTGGAAGGGTAAGAATGGGCATGGCCTTAAATGGAGAAATGTCTGTAGACCAAGACAGGAAAGGAGGATTTGACTCAGAACAATAGATGCATATCTGTGAAGCTGGCAGGTTTAAAAGTTGATTTGGGCCTCTTCTGTTAATATCTCTTGTGGACTAATTGGATGAATTTAAGATATATCAACGGATGGTTAAGTTCTGGAATTCTTCTTGACTAACTTAATGGACCTGGCATTGGAAGGTATCGTTTCAGGTCTCAAAATCAAAAGCCTTGATTGGCATACGGAATCTCATTGGGAAATGGGGAATTACTTCAGCTCTGGTTTGACTCATGGATTCATGAAGAATCAGAATTATTGAGTTATACAACATCCTATCTCAGCGTCATAGCAGATGAGAATTGGACAGGTTTCTCACATGCATTCAAAATTCTCAATGGATATAACTTTACATTTGTCTTATTGCCTCTGGTGAAGTGCAATAGCTGAAAATCAAATTTCTGAACATAGTGATAAGTGGGTTTGGGCTTCTGAAGGTTAGTGGTAGAAGTTCTCCTTTGGCTTCGGGCTTGGGATCAGCTTAGGACTACATTTCAATAGTTTAGGGGGGTGATCTTTACAATGTGATTTGGGATTCCAGCTTCAGCAAACCGAAAATGGCTGCTTGTTTGAGTTAAATGCTATATACAATAGAATGGCTAGCTAGAGACAGGGCTTTCAAATTTTGGTATCACTCAGTGGAAGATTGTGTTCTTATGGCCTCTGGTGAGAGAAGGAATCTAGAGACCATCTTTTCTTTCGAATGCGCGTGTCAGAAGCTTTATTTTGGAAGCTCTGTAAACTAATAATTGGCGGTTTAGATCGCTAACGGTTATCCAAGACCTCAGCATCTGAACGCTGCACATTCAACAGAAATTCAAGGTGAGGGATAAGAAAATTACGAAATGCGAAGATTGGTTTTAAGTGCTACTCGTAGTGGCATAATCTTGGCAAGAAAGAATCGCGATCTGTTTCCATCAGAGGATGGCATAAGGTTATGGGTGTTTAGGAGACATTTATGAAGGATATTAATGTTCTTGGCTTGTACCTGTAATGGAAGGCGGGAATGAGGAGGTTCTAGCAAATTGGAGCCTGGATAGGCAATTAGTTGAGTTTTTTAGCCGACAAAGTGATCTCTTTAGTGTTTTTGAGTTAGTTTATGTAAGGGGCGTACTATTTTGATCACGTTGTGTGGGTTTTGGTAATACTGGAATTCTTCTTTAGTTTCTTTAAGTTGCGAGGGTGACAGTCAGGGCTCTCCCTCTCTATCTAGTTTCTTAAGATTGTTTTAAGTGTTATCCTAGGCCAATTTTTAAATATGTACTAGTGTTATGATATTAATGAAATTTCTTTCTTTCAAATATATATATATATATATATATATATATGATATAAATAA